ATGCATAAAAATAAACATGCATAGGGAGGGGAAGAGAGGTTGAAAGTGGGGGATTAGGAAAAAAGAGGAATTAAATATTATTGCATACAGGTACAAGTTTCTGGTAATAAATGTTATCATGCATATCTAAAATGTGCCAATAAAATTAATTAAAAAATAAACACTGAGCTGGGTGTGGGTGGTGCACTCCTGTAATCCTAGTACTTGGGAGGCTGAGACAGTAGGATTGTTGCAGGTTCAAGAGCAACCTGGGCTACAAAGTGAGTCCAAGGCCAGTCTGAACTGCACAGTGAGACACTGTCTCAAAAAGACAAAAATAAATAAATAAGTAAAATAAAACAACCCCCCAATATATAGCATAAAGATAAATATACAAATAAATATTATAAAAATAAACATATGAATACAAAACTATAAAGATTATGTTTTCTTTTGGTTTTGGTAGTACTGGGGACTGAACATAAGGCCTTGGCATTGAGCAACATCTCCAGGTCTTTTTAGTTTTTATTTTGAGATGGAATCTCTCTAACTTGCTAAACTGCTCAGGCTGGGCTTGAACTTGCAATCTTCCTGCCTCAGCCTCACACAGCCTGAGATTACCGACATGTGCTACCATGCTAGCCTAGTTTGATATTAGCTTTTGCAGTTTGTTGTGTCAAATCTAATCATAGAATTAAGATGCCATGGAGTGGAAGGAAAGGACACTTAAAAGGCTTTTCTAAAAGAGTGTTGCATTGAGCTTTTCTCCTGGTAATATCTTGGCTACTCTTTCAAGATTCAATGGAGAAAAATGGTAGAATGTTAATGAGTCAGAACAAAGACGGTTCCACCACATATTTTTTCAGAACTAAGAAATGGTACAGGATTTCTCATACTTCAAGCTTCCAAGTCTCCATTCCAGCTCTTCCTTTTTCTCTATTACTTTATGCAACATTTTTAATAACACAGAGGCAAAAGGCGGCATAGAGAACTTCAGGAGAAAAATGAATGACCTTAGCTCGGTATAGTCTGGCCCTGCCAGAATGAGCAAATTGGGTGGATTTAGCCCTTTTTATATTAGAGATGCTGTGATTTGAATATCACATCCTCGGATGTGTTCTCATGTGGGTTCGTATCCTAATTTGCAGTGCAAAAGCCTGATTTTTGAAGATGCATTTGCTAGGAGCAGCCAGCAATTCCTGTTTCTTTTTGTAGACATCTCATCCACTTTGGTAGTGCTTAAAATAAAGTACTCAGATGGAAGGGAAGTTGAAACAGACAACAAGCAATATAATACAAAATGTTATGAGTAAAGTGTGTTACTCAGATCCTTCTAAAATACATTTCTCCCTTTATTTTGAAGGCCATAGTGTAGGCAACTTGGCTAATGGAACCAGTCTCTTCCTTTGATCATCAATCGGGTTATCTTTTTGGGAAACTAAGTCTCAGCTTGGCTGATAGTTTTAGCAGAGACTGACATGAAACAGGGACTGTTTAATTATTAGTTCCCTGCAAAGCATGTCTTTTCTCTCTGGAAATTAATTTTTCTTCAGCTAAAGCCACAAGCAGAAGTGCTGTCAGCTCTTTCAGATGCAGAGGGGGAGGAAATTCATTTGATCTTTACTTTTTTCTACGCTGAGTGGTGTGCAGGATCTGGCCGTAATTTCCTGCTTTACAGATGACTACTGCTGGCCCTGGGTGACAGATTTTAATCAAGTGAGAGTCAAAAATAAGTGTGGTATGAGTGCATTGATTAACCTGCTAGGTCTTGGGGAGAGTTTGTGTGCTGTGATCCTGGCAGAGAGTGGATGCTCAGTGCAGGTTCAGAATAACTGAGTGTGAGGGATGGAGAATGAACAAGGAAATGAACTACTCACATGTTGTACATTAGCCACAGCCGAGTGTGTCTATGGTGCACGTGAAACAGGACTCGTGTAAGCTGAGAAATTACACCCTGGTTTTTGAAGACTTAGTTTGAAAAGAAGAAATGCAAATAACATTTATATTGATTACATATTGAGGAATGGTGTTTGTGATATATTAGAATTAAATTAATTCTAATATTAGAATTAAGTGAGATACACAGTATTTCACCAGTTTCTTCCTACCTTTATAATGTGACTTCCTGCCTTTTAAAAATTTGACCTGTAGAAAATGTAAAAGTATCTACACGTAAGTTGCATTATATTTTTGTCGTCCAGTGCTGTGGTCTAGACTCGAAAAATACAGGTAATCAAACAGCTCTAAGTTTAACTACAGGGGAATGTATTTCCCCACTCATCTCTCCTACAGGAGACAGTCATTACCCAGGTCTAAAAAATAAGATTGACTACACACACACACACACACACACACAGAGGCTTCCCGGTGGAGGGGAGGGGATGCTGCCGGATGGGAATCGCTGGCTTTTTAGTCCTCTTCCTCCTGCCTGAGACGCTGAGGAGTAACCCAGAGAGGGCTTGGACCCAGGGGCATTCGCCCACCGCGCAGCAGGGTGGGCCAGGCCTGGCTCTGCAAAGGTATGGGCAGGCTCTGGTAACCCCGGCGCTTGGCGCTTGCCCTCCGGAGCCTGGCCAAGGCCCGACCCTAGCTGGCTTTCTCCACCTGGCTGTTTCCCCGAGGGCCTGGGATTGAGCTCTAAGTGGACTCCTGCACAGCCGTCCCTGGGCCAGGGGGGACCGCAGCGGTCCGTGGTGAGCACCCGCTGAACCCTGGTACAAAAGTCTCTCTGACTCTGCAGACCCTCCCTTGACGCACACCCTCGGGCAGCCCGGATTCTCCTGCTTCGGGCTGGCCCGCCGTGGCCTCCTCTCCTTCCCGCCCAGCTTTGTTCCCCAGCTTCTCTGCACCGCGGGAAGGACTGCGCCCTCCGGGGTCTAATCCTTTCCGCAGCTGGCCCAGTTTCCTCCTGCCCTCTTTCCCTTCTTGGGCTCCAACTGGGGCCGAGGCAAAGGTGGGGCCGCTGGATTCAAGAGGAAAACGCCCTTCAAGGCCCCCCCCCGCCCCCGGCTGCCCGGCTTTCAGGAGGGCGGTCCCTGGATGGACTTCGCGGCCAGGGAGTGGGACTTGGGAGACAGCCTTGGGTGTCTGGGGGCCCTGCGCTGAGCTCACGGTATACTAACAGAGAGGATCCGGCCCCAGCAGGCAGGCCAGCACTCACTCCAGTCTCCCCCCACCCCGCGCGACCCCACTTGCACGCTGCAACGCCTTGGGAGCTGTGCAGGGGGCTTAGCACCCAAAGACATTGTTACGGCTCCTGCTCTCCGGTGGGACTTGCGATAATCTCTTCAAGTTTGCTTCTCTGCAGAGTTAGCTCTGGCCCCGAAAGAAGCAAAAACCCGCTGAGTGCCAACCTGTGGTTTCTGTTTTGGGAACCAAATGTAGAGTGCACACGGGCACCAGCCAACACCTGGTTGTACACCTGCTCTGGTCCTCCATAGACGGCCTTTGGGGTATCGGGAACAGTGTGGCTTGGTTTACAGTTGCTGGATGTAGAGGCCCAAACGCACCAGTCTCCTCCTCCCCTTAGCCTTGCAGAAAGGTCTGCACCACGGCTAAGGGCTAGGGGATCCTCTACTGGCATGACTGCTGTCTCCCTTGACTGTATCCACCTGTCTCCAGTCTTCAGTTCTTGCCGTTATAAACTTTTTTTAAAAAATCATATTTCAGACTCTAAGACAAGACAAAGCTTCATTTAGATGCCTACTTACCACCATCTTATTTAAAATTTTTCCCCATCTTGCTTCCTCCTTCCACATCTGTTTACCATTTACCAGTTCATCTGTATGACATGGGGCGTTCCACATCCTGGAGCACTGTAGTTTGGGGTCTAATTGATTCTGGTAATTAATTTGTTCTACCTGCTAGATCAGATGGAAATCCTACGCCTCGCCCAAGGATTAGCACTTGGCTTTCTAACACTTCCTCTAATTATCTAATAGCATGGGTTGTGAGGACTCAGTCTCTATTAAAACACTTTTGCTATTAGCAGCAGTGATTGGAATTGTGGTGATGACTAGATTTCAATAAATTAGAGCTTAAAAATGGGGAGATGGGAGAGAAGTGGCTTCTTTTAATTTCCCCGAGTTTAACATCAATAATTAGAGCAATTTTCAGAAATGTGAGCCAAAATTACCCCTGCTGTGTTGTAGATGATCACCTTAATTTTAGCAAATTGACTTCAAGGAAATAAATGTGGCAGATTAGAAAAAGACAAACAGAAGGGGAAAAAAAGAGAAACGAATGATTGGAAGGGGAAAATGAAAGGAACGGGGCTGGGAAAAGGAACAGGAGACAAAACCTAGTACAAATACTTAGGGAGCTAGGAAGGAAAGGGGTGGCAGAGCAGAAATACTAACCATCTAAAGTGAGGAATAAGAAATAAAATGAGAGTGGGCATGGAGGGCAGCACTAAAGTGGCTGTGAGCTCACTTAAAAATCACTTGGCTGATGTAGATACAAATCTCCTCCCACCCACTCCTTGTACAGGGAAAGAATGCCAGGATCCTCACCAGTTTTTAAAATTTACTTCCAGCATCCAGTAATCCCCCCTTCATCGTTTAAGCAGAGTCTAGCTCCTTAAAGGAGCGGGCACTCTCCAAGCTCACTTCCTCACCTCCTTTCGCTATCCATTATTGAAACTTAAACACGCAGGCCCCAACGCCTGAATGAGTGTTTTTTCCTTGTTGCTGTGAGGCCTTGGTTAGTGTCTTCTAAGAAGGAGTTTGCTGGACCACAGACTTTTTCCGATTAGTTTCCTTTTAGAACAACTGGGAACAAAAGCAGTTTTTGCAGTGCAGAGGCAGAAACAGGTCTAGGGCCCTGCTAGGAACCCCAAGCCAGTGGGCTCTGCTCTTCCCAGGCTTGGCAGGCCGCCTTCAGCACCGCGGACAGCTCCCGCCCCGCCCCGAGCCCGCCGCGCCCTCCCCTCTGCCTCTGGCAGCCTCGCCATTGGCTCTCCCCGCTCCCCTCTCCAAGCTGCCAATTCACCAACACAGAGACCCAACCTACCCAGATGCTCTTCTTCTCGCCTTCCCTGCGCCCGGGATAGCCCAGGCCGAGGGCAGTGCAGTAGAGATCTGAGCCTCCAAGAGTGGTGGTCGGCCCTGGACCAGGCTTGCTGAAGACGCTGCCTGCTTCCTACACTTCGCTCCCGGCCCGCGTCCCAGTGGCAGGCGCTCGACTCAAGATGAATCTCAACTTCACCTCCCCGCTCCATCCGGCGTCTTCCCAGAGGCCCACATCTTTCTTCATCGAGGACATCCTGCTGCACAAGCCTAAGCCGCTGAGAGAGGTGGCCCCCGACCATTTCGCCAGCTCTCTGGCCTCTCGGGTGCCTCTACTAGACTATGGCTATCCTCTCATGCCCACACCCACTCTCCTGGCTCCTCACGCCCATCACCCTCTGCATAAGGGAGACCACCACCACCCTTACTTTCTCACTGCCTCGGGTAAGTAGCAGGGTCCTCACGGGCTGGCAGGGAGGAAACAGATCTTCCAGCAGATATGAAGCCTGTGATGGAGTGAAGCAAGCACCAGATCTCTCTGGCCTGGTGTGGTGGCATCCCTCCCTCGGTGACAGTCGCAGGTTCAGGGTATGGCCCAGAGCACACAGAGCTTCTCTGAAGCATGTTAAAAAATTTGTGGTCACTCTGCACTTTTTGTAACAGATGTATGTGGCCAGGAGGCAGCTGGAGGTGGACAGGTTTAGCATATCCTTAAAGGGCAATGGTCAGTCTTATCAGTGACCTTCCTGGCCATTTTGGTTCACCTATCAGTCCTGATCCTGATTCTTAGCATCTCCCCACTCCCCAAAGAGACACCTCTGACTGGCCCACCAATGGACTCAACTCAACTTTTCAGGCCAGAAGCTGGGGCTGCTCTGCCCGGCTCACCTCTCATCTTTCAGGGCTGAGCACTGGGGAATATTGTGCAGGGCACAGATGTGAATATGGGGTAATTTGAGGGAAAAGGTCTGGCCTGCCAAAATAATGGCAGGAAGGCTAAAAAACAAACACAAAGAAAGAGATGCATCTCTTTAGCTTGCTTTGCTCTCAAAGTTTCATTTTAACTCAAGATCTTAAGTTGGGCTGCCCTTCTCTGTCCCAATAACCAAAATCTCTGGAAGCAGGTGCTAAAGTAGTGTTTGTTAACAAAGTGTGGGGCATTGAGAGGCAAAGAAATACCTAGATTTTTTACCATCTTTCTTGAAACAGTCACATCCACGCTTTCCTCCTTGGTGTTTTTACTCCAGTCAGAATAGAACAGAGTAATCTGTTTAGTCAGTTGCTGAGTGGAGCAAGGAAGACCTTCTGGTAAGGGATAGGAGCTGGGGGAAGACAGCCGTCATCGGAGAAATACGGGAATCTGGATTGTGGATTCTAGAACAAAAGCTAAAAGCGTTTATAGAGCAGTGTAAAACACACACTGGGCCGCTGGGTTGCAGCGCGGGTTCCAGAGCCTGTGTTGAGGCCCACATCTCTCACTGGCTTCGCCACCTGGCTAGTGACAGTCTGCTCTCCATTGCACTGATGTTGGTCAGATATAGCAATGGCCCAATGACTCTTCTGTTACTGGGTTGTTAATTTTTTTGTACGGGTAATCAAACTCAGAACCTTGTGCCTGCCAAGCAGGTACCGTGGCACTGAGCTAAATCGGCCCCATTTATTCTTTTTGTAAATTTTAAAAATTTTTTTCTGTTGCTGTTTTTGTTTTCTTTCTCTCCCTCCCTCCCCTCTGGGACTGGCGGATACTGACACCCATGGCAGCCTTGGCTAGCTGAGCGCATCTCAGATACTGTGCAAAGCCAGGGAGGGGTGGAAACACAAGAGAAGTCTATCTCAACCCAGCCAGGGAAAAAGGCTTCCCTTCACCTCTCTGCTTTCCTGGGGTGGTGTCAGAGGGAAAGAACCAGGAGCCCCCAGACAGCAGCTCCACAGCAGGGTCCTGTAAAGGAAACCAGAGCGGCAAGCCCCACAGCTTCTCCGGATAAGAATTTTGCTATTTTCTTTTGCAGGACGATAGGGCTGGAGTGGCTGTGGTGGGGGGAAGAAAGGTGTTTTTAAAGTCAGTGCAGAGCAAGATCGTGTCTCTTCTCTCCTAGTAGACTCAGCAGTGCACTGAGCAGTCATCAGGGGTCTGGATAGAGAAGGTGGACAGTCTCCCTCCCCGACCCTGGCAAGAAAACTTCGAGAGGCTCAGCAGAAGACGGGCGCAGCGAGCCCCGCAGACCTCGCAGACCTTGCTCTGAGCAGATTTGTTTTATTTATTATTGTCTTTTGAGACAGAGTCTCACTATGCAGTCCAGGCTCACCTTGAACTTGAGATCCCGTCTGCTTCACTCTCCCAAATGCTGGGATTCCGGGTTGGGGGTTGCACCTGACTGAAGACAGTTTTCGAAAAGCCCCTGGATCTATTTCCTGATTTTCCACTTTATTTGCTCTTTATTATTTTTCTTTCTGGAAAAAAGATCTCTAAGCGCAGTTGTGCAGCTTTCCCAGTCTTGTCCCGGGATTCTCGGGAGCAGTACTCTGGGATCTCTGGAGCGGGCAGTAGAGTGGTGGAGGCCAGAGGTCGAGGCTCAGGGAGGCGCTGGGCGCTGGGAGTGAGCAGCGGAGTGCGGCGAGGTTACTTCCTGGCGCCCGGGACCCTGCCCACCGGGCTGTGTTTCTCTCCCCAGGCGTGCCGGTCCCCGCGCTGTTCCCGCACCCCCAGCACGCGGAGCTGCCGGGGAAGCACTGCCGCCGCCGCAAAGCTCGCACGGTGTTTTCGGACTCGCAGCTCTCCGGCTTGGAGAAGAGGTTTGAGATCCAGCGCTACCTGTCCACGCCCGAGCGGGTGGAGCTGGCCACAGCCCTCAGCCTGTCGGAGACGCAGGTGGGCGAGGAAGGGGGAGCCCCCTGTCCGCTCCGTTCTTCTCCCCTCTTCACTCTGAACATCGCGCAGACCAGTGAGGACCTCTTAGTGAGAATGAGTCCTCCTCCCCTTTCTAGGGTATCAACCAAGGTCCTTCCTAAAAGGACTGTACTCCAAACTCGCCTTAGCCTTCCTACGAAATCTCTCCAGCGAGGCTCTAGGAGAAGAAAAACTTTCTCGGGCGATTCTAATGATCGCTTCGGGTTTGACTGCGATTTCTACCCCTCCTTAACTCGCCTCTAACCGAGGTGTAACCCGGATCAGAGGTAAACGAACAAGAGAGTAGGCGCGTTCTTTGGTCCTGCCTAGGCCATCGCAGGACTCCGCACTCCCCGCGTCTCGCTCTCACAGCGGCCGGCCTCACGCACGCGCTCCTCTAACACACGACAGTTTGCAGCTTCGGCCTCCTCCCTGTCCCCCGCTCTGAGTGGAAGAAATGTCAATCATGCCGCAGCCACTGTTGATCTGTAACCTCCAGACCCTCCCTGTATTCCGTTGCCTCTGATCCTGTGCCCAGAAAGAGAGCTTGCTGCGAGGTCCTTAGCACACTAGGACTAAGTCTGATTTTCACCCCGTAAAGATCCGAAAGTTGAGTTCGCACCTTCCCATCCAGGGGTCCCGCTGGACCAGGTAGTTAGCCGTTACCATCAGAGGATCACAGCGCACAGGGGCCTCGCCCACGTGGTGTATACTGTTAGTCATTCTGGTTAATGACAGTTTTGGTGGTTACTAGCCAGGTCATCTCGATCCGCGTTAGGACTCCTGGGAGTCTTGGGGTGTTCGACCCTCTCAGCCTAAAGGTCACTGGTGAGCACTTAGCGTGGTTTAACCGAGGGTACGGCGATCGCAGCTCTTGGCTAATTCATCCAGGGAACGCAGTACGTTTTCCTTAAACCCCAGCAATCGTTCAGGTCTCTGTTAAGAAGGACGTGATTGTATCTCTGTCTCCCCCAAATCAGGTGAAGACGTGGTTCCAGAACCGCCGGATGAAACATAAAAAGCAGCTGAGGAAAAGTCAAGATGAGCCCAAAGCGCCGGAGGGGCCCGAGAGCCCCGAGGGCAGCCCCCGCGCACCCGAGGTCGCCGTGGCCGAGGCGCGGCTGGGCCTGCCGGCCGGCTCCTTCGTGCTGACCGAGCCGGAGGACGAGGTGGACATCGGGGAAGAGGCCGAGCTCAGCTCGGGGCCGCGCGGGCTCTGAGTCTCCGGGCTGGGGTGGGGGAGCCGCGGGGCCCGGCGCGGTGCTCTCCAGGAGCCAGGACTCGGACTGCGGCCTCGGGGCTCAGCTCCTGGAAGACAGCGGACCCCGCGTGTCCACCCTGCAGCCCGCCCGCTCGGAGGCCGACGGCCGCGGCTGCTCCCGGGCTGTCCTCTCCCCGTCCCGGCCGCGGGGCGCCAGCGCCGAGCCCCGGACCTTGCACCCCGCGCGCGCGCGCGCACTTCGCTGGCGGCGGGCTGGGGTCACCGCCACCAACGCAGAACCCGCGTCCCTGCTTCCCGGCCGCACGCCCGCAGCTCGGACGCTCTGCCCTTCCTTGCAGCGGCTCGGTCGGTCGCAGGCCGGGGACCGGGAGTGGCGCCTCCGGCCGGCTGGGGGGACCCAGGCGGACCACGCGCTGAGCCTCGCGACGCCCGCGCCAGGCGCGCTGCGGGCCCCTGACCTCCGCTCTCCGGAGGGCGCTTCCACCTCCCCGGCACAGTCGGTCCCCGCACGGTCCGGGGTGGGAGCCTTTCCCGTCCTTCCTCCTCCGCACGGAGCAGCGCGCGCGCGCAGGGAAATTTGGGCAGAGAAAAATCTGTAGAGCAATTTTCTGCTTCCCGAACTTGTTGCGTTCCTGTCCCGCAACTCTTCCAAGTCCCACGGGCTATTGATACTTTGCAAGTGAGTGTTCCTCGGCTTGTGTGTGGAAGTGCTTTTTTACGGGAGTTTTGTTTTGTCTTTTGGTTTTATTAGCAGGGATTGAACTCACGACCTTGCGCTTGTGGGGCAGGCACTTACACCACTGAGCTAAATCTTGGCAAGGGAGCACCGAGTTTTAACAAGGTTAACGCTCTGGGCGCACCCTCCTTGGGACCACTGAGGTAGGGCGGGGGTCTGATTGCCCTGCGCGGTCACCTTTTGTGTTTTTCCCCCTCCGTGGGAGGTCTCCTGTTCTCTAACTGGGCTTGCAGACTCTTTAGATAATAAAGGGCTTTCCGGGCAAAACTGGGAGCGACGCGCGTTTCCGGGAACCGTTTGTTACCGCGTCCTCCTACTCGAACGCCCCCGCCCCATCCATCTCCTATTTCCTGCAGAGGTGAACTTGGCTTGCCTTAACAATCCCAGGCTCTGATTTTTGTGTTTCACGAATGGTCCTGAGTCCCACCTACATGGAAACGGTACTAACAAATGGTACTTTTGTCGTTGGGAAATGCCGGACAGGAATCTATTGACACTGAAACTTGAAATTATCCTAACAAATTGTGTGACGAGATTGCGTACTCAATACACTTATCAAATACAGTCACTGTGTCCGAGGCGACCACAGCTTCCCATCTGCCTCTGGTTTCTGGGGGCGTTCTTGGTGAGTGAGACCAGGGAGTGTGGATGGGTGAAAACGTCACTCGTGGGTTCCCGTGATAAATAATAACAGTCTCACAGATCACAGTGGTGCGAGCTGGGTTACATTTCATCTTCCTGTTTCCCCAAGAAGGAGGTCAATCATAAAAATTCTTACTGGTCTGAGTTCTGTGATTCTATGAATGTGGCAGTAGGCGTTTTCGGTTCTTTTTTTAAACAATGGACTTACGGAGAAAACATTACTTGAGGTAAAGGTAAGTGCCAGGGGGCTTTACTCAAGCGCATCACCTGAAGGAAGACTTCTTTCAAAGCATTGGCAGCGTTTTACGCTGTGGCCTTTTTTTTCCTAAGCTGTTTGTAAACAGTCATTGACCTTGAGCACCAGGGATGGCCTGGGTGTCCCTTTCACAGATCAGAAAGTTGAGGCTTGGCAGGATTAAAACACTCACCCACGAAGTACTGGGCGGCTGGTAGCCAAAGGTGGATACAAATCTCTCTTCTCTTTGTTCACGTCTTTTTCCACACGATTTATTTTCCTCCTAACGCTGCATCAGTTGACATCTTTTTCCTTTATCATTTTATCAGAAGGTCGCCTCTTTCTTGAGATTGTGTACATGGGCTATTAAGAGGATATTTAGGCTCACATTTCTCCTCTTCCTCTCTGTTCAGATAAAGACAATATCGGTTGGTGTTTTTTTTTTTGTTTTGTTTTTGGTTACTTCAGTGGTGCTGGGGATTCCCAGCACCTCAGCCTTGCTAGGTAAATGCTTTTTACTGAGTTACACCCCCAGCCAGACACTACTATTGTAATCCAGGAATTCGCTGCAAATGCTTTAGAGCAAGAAAGTAGACTTGGTTAGGGACAAGCGAGTTGTCAATAAGAACTTACTGGTGACCCGAATGAAAAGTAGGTATTAGTAGAGAAGAAAATAGAGCCAGGGGGAAAATCTCAAATTCTCATCCCAGGAAGAACAGCTGCTCACAGGATTCAAGAAGAATCCTGAAAATGAGTAGGAATCCTGTTGCAGAGCATGTGTGTAAATTAGATGGTGAACACAAACTTAAAAGTTCCATGAATTTCTTTTCCTTTTCTCGGCCTTACAACATGTCAGGGTTCATTCTGTGTGTGTGAGAGGAGACAAAATGCATCTCATGATCTTTTGTCTTGAACCTGAAGGTGACTGGGAGACACTATTCGCACAAGCTCAGCTCTACCGGCAAAACCAGTCTGGGAGCTCAGGGACTCTGGGTCTGAGTCGTTACCTGGGGGGTGATGCTTGGTCCCCCTCTCTCTGGTCCTCTGTTTATAGCTAGCTCTGGCCAGAATTGCTGGGAAGGAGAAAGCTAAGTACTGCAGCACCAGCCGTGCTAACTGTAGGTAGTTTTCTAATTAAAAAACAAAAGCCTCTGGCATTGGGGGTAAACAATCCATAGCAGAATTCTCCATTTCCTCTTTAAAAAAAAAAAAATACAAGGGGTTCGTGATGGCAACAGTGCATAGACACAATTTTGTCTCAATTTAATGAAACATGACAGAGCTAATTTGTTTTTGGTCTTCCATGCTGACCAAAGCCTCCACACGCTGGAAAGGCATTTTGTCTGAATTGCAGAGGCTTTTGCCTCAACTCAGTTTTACTTGATGGTGATGATCTGACAAAACTGTGCTTGTTATGATCCGGAAAGAGAGATCTGATTATGTACATATAAAACATCTTCAGATAGCCAAGTTAGGCAATTCACCCCAAATATAACGAATTTATTCTCCCCTGTTTGTTCCCAATGCTGTGTCCCTGATGGACTTCATAGATTCTCAGAGAGGGACTCCTGGTAATATTTCTGTCCACATGACACAGAATGCACCACAGCCATCCCGCACAGCGTCAGCTGACAGTGGCACTAGGAAATGCTTGATCAGAATCCGTGACACTGCTTCAAGAGACGAGGACTCGCTCTTGTGGATGGATTTCATAATTAGATAAAGATGTGGAGAGGCAGAGCTAGCAGGATGCTTTCTGGTGCTAACAGAATCGTGCAATAAACACATTTAGTTAAAGCAGAGACTCCTTGGTCTTCCTGAATCGAGATTAACATACATGCACAAATGATTTGCTAATGGAAATATTTATATATATCTTTATTACGCTTTGGCATGACATTTTAAAAAGGATGTTGACAAGATAAAATTTTTTCAGCACATAGGAACCTGGGTAGTTATGGGTATGTCCATAACAAAGAATGCTTAGAAATAACAAAGAACTCTTGGCTTTTTAGCTTACAGGAGGAGAGCTTTGGGGAGGGGGGTAGAGTTTACATATCATAGTTACATTTGGATGGTTGTAGGGTCCAGGGGTGTCTCTGTTCTGCCATGCTACAGGTGTTAAGGTGGTCTCAGGAAAGCAGATTGAGGAACAATATTTGTGTTTCTCCTATCCAACTACAGAATATGTTAAGTCCATAAAACGCTAAGCACTTACACTAGAAAACTTTAGGCAGGAGCTAGAATGCAAAACCCAAAGAATTCTCTTCATGGGTTTCTCCACAAGTAGGAGATTAGGCCAGATACCCGGTGTGCTGCTTCTCCTCCATTTCTTCTTCCCAGGGACTTTGCACTGAGCTAGGCCCCCAATCTTGAATGCTTTTTCTTAACTATTATGATCCTAGTATTTTGTTTTCTTTTTGTAAGAAAAGGAACTGTGAGTTCTAAGCTATTGAAGTTATTTCACTAAGATTTTAGCCCATGTACACTAATTTAAATAAATACATTCGTAGCAGTTAGAAGAATTAAGAGAAAGAGAAAGGAGAGAGAAAAAAAGATATTTCTTATTCATTGAAGAATTTCCAGCACTTCAAATGAAAACAAGAGTTGTTCCACTAAGTGAAGGGCAAAAATACAGTCAAGAAGAAATTGGCAGTGTTAGAAGGGTCATTTGACAAAGTCTAAGCTCTTCACTTTATACATGGAAGAAATCGAGTCCCAGATATAGTATCTTCCCAATGTCATATACATAGTGCAGAATTAAGCCTAGAAGACAATTGTTTTTTCAGTATTTGGATCAAACTGGGCTACACCTCCAGCTACTTTAGTTTTTGAGATAAGGTCTAACTAAATTGCCCAGAAGAGATTCAAACTTAGAATCCTCTGCCTCAGTCTCTCAAGTTGCTGGGATTACTGAAGTGTGCCACCATTCCTGACAATTGTTTTGCTTTTGTTGTTTGAGACAGAGTTTGGCTATGTAGTTCAGGCTGGCTTTGAACTCTCTATGTAGCCCAGGCTGGCCTTTAAATCATGGCAGTCTTCCTGCCTTGGTCTGCCAAATGCTGGGGTTACAGATATGTGCCACCACGCCTGGTATGTTATAGACACAAATCAGTAAAATCTTTTCCCAACTTTTAGAAACATTTGTGCCTGATTAAGGAATCTGAAAGGTAAATGAGCTTCCCTGGGAGATACTGAGTCTTTAGTGATATTTTCATTCAAGGTAAGGTTGCATAAGCATGTGCTGGGAGGTTTTAGATGATATTCCTGTAGGACTGACCTAGATGGTTTCTAAGGGATAACAAGTTTTGGCATTTCCCTAATGCAGTTTTTTTTAAAACTTAATTTCTCTTAATTAGAGATAAAGCAACTGAGAGTTGAAAAGATTGACTGGTTCTATGATACAGTGTATTAGTTTGGTGAGTTACAGAATTAATATTCCTAGAGGTCAAAGATAATTCCAGTAAATATTGAGGAATGAGACAAAACTTCAAAACGGCTCTCACATTTTCTTCCCATTGTATTTTCTGCTTATAATACCCTATGCTTTCTACTGATTTATTTTTTTCTTTCTCAAAATTCCCAGTGTGTACATCAGATACCCATTTCCCCATGATGTCATTTACAGTGCTCTGTGAGCCTTTTCTAACCATTCTCTTTACAAGAACACTACAGTTGGAATTGGCATCATAAGCCATGGAGCAGATGGCATAGAGCTATAAATTCTTACCTTGATTTTACCAATGATAGCATCATTTCTCTTAGTGGGCATAAAAAATGAGGAAAATGACCAAAAAATCATTTAGGAATGGTGAGGAGAGGTGGGATGACAGTTATTGAAAGCACCTACTGTGAGGTCTTAGATGAAGAGAGCTATCGGAAGACAATAAATTGTAATACAAAACATATCAATGGTCAAGTTTCCTACATCAACTTCACTGGACTACAGCTGTTACTACAAGGTTCATGTCTCATCGTACCATTGTAAAGGGGTTGTTATATCCCAAAGGAATTTTATTTTTCTTTACATTTTTTAATTCTTTTTTTTTTTTTTTTTTTGTGCCTGGGACTGAATTTATGACCTCGAACTTGCCAGGCAGGTGCTGTGCCACTGAGCTGCATCTCCAGCCCCGAATTTTATTTTCTTTCAGTACTCATGATTTAATTCAGGACCTAGCACCCAAGAGACATGCTGCCTCCTACTGAGGCCCATCATTAGCACTTTTAAAAGTTCATTTTGTTGTTTTGTTGTTTCATGTTTATTGTCCTGCTTGGGCTAAGCCTGGATTTGTAAACCCTGAGTGAAATAGAATTCATCAGGTCTTATTAGGA